TATATATATATATGTATCTATACCTACTTATGTGAGAGAGAGAGAGAAGACGAGCTGCGTTGAGGGTCGATTTTGCAGCTAGATATCTCTCTAGTTGATATGAACAGGCTGTCTCTTATACATATATATAAATATACACACATATACACGTACAGATTTTTGCACTTACAATATGTGTTTGTGTTTATTTGCATATGCAAATACATCGATACAATTATGTGTGCTCATAAGCATACATGCCTACATGAATGTGTATATGCTCATGTACATGTGTATGAATTTGCACATTGACATGCAGTACATGTACCTTCATATATCACTGGACACATGTATATGAAGGTATACATGTCGGTCTGTCTGTCTGTCTGTCCGTATATACAGATCCATCGTGCAAACATGTATTCGCATATCCGCCTATCGATGCACGCGTGTATGTGTGTCAACACATGCACCCCCATGGACATGCGTAGATTTGCACGGCTGGCCAGGAGGGGAGGCGATGCTTCATCCTTGACCGCGGGCGCCAGGTAGTCGCCTCTGTGCCGCTGGTGTTGGCCATGAAGGATCTAAGGCGATTTTGGCTCACGGCTTGAAGCTCTGAGGTTTTCGAGGTCGTTTGGTTTTGGACTTCAGGTCTGCAGCGTCCAGCAGCTTCTCATCCCCCAGCATAGTCTCGTCACATGCAGTTTCAACTTAGACTTACACCGGTGCCTAAGAAGTCCCAACAATTATCAGGTGGCGGCGTAAGCTTTGTTCCTTTCCTCCATTCATGCTGGTATGTCTGATGTCGCGAAGCAGTCATCCTTACGACTCCCCGACAGCCCTAAATTTCAAACCCCAACTGAATCCTAAGCCCCCTTCTTCAAAACTCACCATCGCCGATTGCACACGCAAAACGCCTGCCTACTGCTGGGAAGTTTCACCTTCCTGCCGAAGCACCATGGACTCGAAGTAGCCCCGGAAACAGAGCAGTCGAAAGCACGGGCACACGACATGACTGACGCGCTAGCTGCTAGCTCGCAACAAATGTCTTAAAGCTGCCACTCTCAAAGCTTGAGCTACAGAGTCGGTAATGTAGAAGTCTGAATAATGGAACAGATTTCTTCCGTGGGGTCCCATGTTATACCTCTACTTCATTATACCCCCCAACCATACTCTGGCCCCTACATATATTCGAGGGAATTCGGATCTAGGGTTGCGCATCGGCAAAAAGCCTCCGGCCTCGAGAGTTTAGGGCGCAGGGGTTCTGCGGAGGGTTTTTTGAAAGTAATAGAAAAGCCTCAGTACTTTCCAATACAGTTATATGTATATATATATATA